CGGGCAATATAAACATGCAAAATCTTTGTCTGAAGTGTTATACAGTCAGTAGTGTCCAGCAACAAATATTCAACTGCTATATTTACTCCGTGCCCCTAGAGTGAAACGGGTGATCTCGTAGTTCTTGGTCTGTGAAGATGCACTATCTGAAACACTGATGTTCTCATATATTTTCCGCCCCTTTTTTTTCCCAACTCTTTAGGCTCGTCTGAAAGCTGTAAACTCGCTGATGTTCAGACTCATAAGCTCTTTGTCAATTCGCAGATGCTCACATCTGGTGCTTGTTTCATCGATATTTCGTGAAAAAGTATTCAGCATTATGGTACTGAGTCGGATTTTTTCTCTTTACTGGTACTAGGCTCTCCTTATAATAATAAGACCAACAGAAACCAGAGCTTAGAATCTGAAAATGATAAAATCCAAGATTTGTAACTTGTTTAGCTGTATGGTCATAAAACACCATCCTGTTAGTTTCTGTAAGTTCATAAATAAACTTATCGTACTCCCATACCCCGAGAGGCCAATGCCATGTTATAGGAGGGTTCACAGTAAACACTTTGATCCAATGATTCTCTCGTATCCTCGCCCATATATCATAACACGACGTCTGAGGCTGAGCTACATCAGTACAAGACATTGCAGCAAGAGAACCGCGGGCGTAACATTAAAGTCCCCTACTGATCATTTGGAAATGGCGGGCCTTCCGTCTCCCCAAACAATTCAGTTGCAAAATCAAAAGTACAAATACCATACACGTTCTCTTTACTAACGGACATCCAATAATAAAGTCCGTTTAAATAAGTGCAATTAAGCGACACACATAAGCGAGTGTCGTGAGCTAAATCAGGCTCTATCAACTTCCACGAGTCGTTGTTCAACGAATAGACAGCAGTAAACACCTTAGGATAAACGTCGCTTTTTTCATCATCGTAAAATACTCGCATCCATATAAGTTTATAGTCTTGATTCACTAGGTCTAAACCTAATCCAACTGTACGGCTGTGATCGTCGAAAGAATTTAGAAGCTCAAAATTAAACTTGGGAATAAGCCTGCACTCTTTGGTTGCAGGATTCCACCATGCAAACCGAACATTTTCCAGATAATGGCCTTTCTCTAATACGAATAACCCATCAACTGGACCAGAAATACTTCTGAAATCAGTAACGCCTTCGCAACGATAAAGCCTCTGATGTGTAGGGACACATCCTGCGTACATTTTCTCGGGTAGCACGAAAAAATTAAAAGCCCTTAAAGGCTCGGGATCATGATTATAGTCAACACCGAACTTGCAAACCACTGGATGGGTACGATTACTCGGGCTATCACAGTGCTTTCTGATAAAACTTGAACTTTTGACGAGATCACACCAACTTTCACAAACACATTTGAATCGCAACAATGATTTCACAGGTAACCTCGATAGAATGTGATCAGTTACAATTTCTTCTCGTGAATAACTTTCGGTACTACTTGTCATTCTGCTCAAATTATTTCCTGCGTATGTAAACATCCTGGTTATGAACGAAGCTTACGTTATTAATAAAAATTATAATTAGCCCAATGTACAATCAACAATATCATACGTACAGTATTCTTTTTGTTGCTATTTTCAGGGGCGGATGTAGAGTATCAGCATTGGGTTCATTTTAACCCAGTACTTCCGGACACGTAGCTTAAGTTTATTTGTAAATAATCACAAAAATTACAGCAAATGATAGGTATGAACCCACACTTTCAATGATAAGAACCTTAAAGGTTGAACCTATAAAATTTAAATCTTGAACTTATAGTTTGAACTTACTTCGTACCACTTGTGGGAATTTAGATAGGAGTATGTTTTTACGCGCACACTAATTCTTCTTTTATTTTAAACATCCATTAATTTGAACATGTTTCTTCCCATTTTCTAATATAAAAATCTTGAGAGAATCCATTAATAAACGAAAAATCTCCACTGGGAAGATGATGTTATTTTTAAGCATACTATTAAATAAATATTCACAGTTTTGAGCTAAAAATAGTAGTGACAGAGCAATAAAATCTGAGTTTTTTACTCTCCTGCATGCATTGACAAATAATATTGAACAATTGTAACAAAATTAAAAGCTTAAAATCAATAGATGAATTAACAAATTGGTAATCCAACCTTATATGTGGTGAGACGAGTTGGTTATTTTGTATCAAGTATTGCACAGAAAATCAAACAAGAAAGCAGAGAGGCCAGTTATGATTTGATTAAAAAACGGAGAAGTTAAGAATATGTAGATAACAAAAGACACAGAAATGAATGATGTCCGAACATGTCTGATTTATAAAAATTAACCTTTATATAGGGATTGGACATGTAACAAGAAAACAACAAAAAAGAGCGTAAAATTAGCTAACGACCAGTGACTTCTTCCTATAACAATGAAAGAAAAACATAATCTCCATTCAATTCCTAAAAGAATGGGTAAAAGGATTGATTTACCTAAGTGCCGCCGTAAATTCCAGGACAGTTATCTGATTTAGGGCTTTTTATTCAAACAATGTGTTAAAATATCAGAATTGACCCGACCCTCCACCTCCGTTTTCATGACCCTTTTCCAGCTCCCCTTCCACTACATGGACACCGGTACAATTAGCGGAGCCAGAATTTCAAACTTATGGGTTCGGGATTCTAATCGTTTGAAGTTACTGAGTTCTAGATTAATAATTTACACATATTCAGTGAAATTTTTAAGACAAATAGAGGATTCGAACCAAAACTACTGGGTTCGGCCGAACCCGCTACCAAGGAAAAAATGAATGTGACAATCTTTAATAAACGTTAATGTTGCGCGTGCAAACATAGTCTTACATTGGAATTGGATGCTTATCCAATGCAATAAAACTTATGAACGCAGACATGATCATGATCGTGAAACACATCTATCTAGCAGAGGTAGAATCGTAGAGAGAAATAAGAGAATAAATGTTAGCACAAAGTATTATTAATTGCAGCAAAAAAGGTCATTTTAAAGCACCTCTTGAAGAAAATGAAAAAGTTCTAGAAACAAATCTTTTGTGTGATATTTTTTACATTGATGCATACCACATTTAATTTTTGGATGCTGTTGAGTTTTGCAAAAGGAAATAAATATTTCTCCCTCCGTTCCGATTTATATGAACTTGTTTAATTGGACATGGAGTTTAATAAAAAATGAAGACTTTTGGAATTTATGGTCCTAAACAAGCCAAAAAGGGGTCCAGAGAATTTGTGTGGTTATAAAAGCTTCTTATTAAGGGTAGAATTGTAAGTTTAAGCTAAATTATTACCAAATTTAGAAAATGGGTCATTCTTTTTGGAACGGACCAAAAAGGAAATAGGTTCACATAAACTGGAACAGAGGTAGTAGTAATAAATTATAGTATAGTTTTTCCTTGAAGGAAGTATTATGTGTGTGGTTATAAACTATTGCCACTTGATAAAATATATCCAGATTCCAGATGTTGATGGATTTCAGCTCCCTGAAGGAGATAGTAATTACTCCCTCCGTTCTAATTTATGTGAACCTGTTTGACTGGACACGAAGTTTAAGAAAAAATAAAGACTTTTGGGATTTGTAGTCCAAAACAAGTCAAAAAGGAGCCCAGATTATTTGTGTGGTTATAAAAGATTCTCATTAAGGGTAGAATTGTAAGTTTAAGCTAAATTGTTACCAAATTTAGAAAGAAGTCATTCTTTTTGGAACGGGCTAAAAAGGAAATAGGTTCACATAAACTGAAACGGAGGGAGTACTATTAAAGAGTTGGCCGTAAAACTATCGAAGAATATATAATTCAAGCGCCATTGATGGAAGATAGATGTGAAAGAAGCAATCGATTATGTGAAGTATTAGGGGAAATGAAAATCGTTTGACTCCCTTGAATTACTCAACCATTCAAATACCACTAGTTAGATATCAATTTAGTTGACAATTAGTTGAATGTATACCTCCATTTGTTGTCATTTAACCAAGAGAAGACTGTATTTAATTATCTTGATCCTTAGCACTAATTAAAAAAAAACTACACTATTCGTATATATAATTGTCAAATCCAACACCAATTAGTATCAATGTGGAATCAACATCGCTTGACAAATTCTAAGAGTGTGTGTGTATATATATATATATATATATATATATATATATATATATATATATATATATATATATATATATATATATGCAGTCAAACCTCTCTATAACAGTTCCAATATTTTTTAGCTGCTATACTGAAGTGTTGTTATAGAGGATATATATAATAATATAATATAAAAAATTGGTTCCGAAAAAGTTTGGCTTTATAGAGAAAGGTTGTTATATAGCTGTTACAGAGAAGTTTGACCGTATAGAAGAACTCTAAAATTGTAACAAATTTCAGAATTTCCAAATTAACAAGGCACTTCCCTGGAATACTAAAGCAAAAGAACACTCCAAAGTGCAAATATAAAAAGAAACACCGAGCACAGGTCTTTTTAAAAAAAAATCAAAAGCCGTATTGAAGTGGCGGGGGTTTGGCTTAGACCCCTACCTCGTAAATTAAGATCCAAAAGGTAAATACATGAAGGAAGGGGACATAAAACCTAACCTCCACACAAGTGGTCAAGTCTGTATTGTGAGCTAGACATTGGTACATTTAGAATCTGACTACATTCTAGAAGAAGGAAGAGGGGACTTCTCTACATACAATCTGACTAGCCAAAACACAAAACAAAGCTCAAGATTACAATTGAGCTAGCTCCTATACAAAAGGATTTTTTTTTTTTACTGTCTTATTCTGAAACTTGACATTATTCCTCTGTCTAGAAGGTAGAATCCTCTGGCCTAAAGATTTATTATCTCATTCTACTAATATTTTTGCTTTACTTTTTTCACTTCTTTAGGCTCATCTGAGACTTTAGTCAGACAGGGCAAATATGAAGAGTCAGAAAACAGTCATAAGCTTTATCCCCATTTCTATTCTTCAAAAATAGACTGTCAAATCTGGTGCTTGCTTAAAACTTGGTGAAGTAGTGTTCAACATTATCCTGCTCAGTGGGATTTTCTCTCTTTATTGGAATTAGGCTCTCCTTATAATCTGTAGTCCAACAGAATCCAGATTCTAGACGTTGAAAATGATCAAATCCAAGATTTGTAACTTGTTTAGCGGCCTGATCATAAAAAACCATCCTGTTAGTCTCTGTTAGTTCATAAATAAACTTATCATACTCCCAAATTCCGTTAGGCCAATGCGAGGGTATAGGAGGATTCACTGTATAAACTTTGATCCATTTATTCTCTCCAATCCTTGCCCATATATCATAACACGATGTCTGAGGCTGAGCCATATTACCAGAAGACATAGCTGCAAGGGAGCCACCGCGTAACATTAGTGTCGCCCAGTGATCACCTGGAATTGGTGGTCCTGCCATTTCCCCAAACAATTCAGTCGCAAAATCAAATGTCCGAATAAAATACACACTGTCTTTCTTGCATATCTCTTTGCTGCTGCTCATCCAATGATATTTTCCGTTAATATAAGTGCTATTTTGGGACACAGATAACTGACATTCGTAAGAATAGTTAGGTTCCAAGTATTTCCAAGAGTCATTTTTCGATGAATACAGAGCAGCAAAAATTTTAGGATAAAGATCGTTTGTCATTTCATCGCAAAATATTCGTAACCATACAACTTTATAGTCTTCGTTCACTTTGTTTAAACCTATTCCAACCTGATCACGCCCAACTATGCCTTATAAAAAGGACAATGCGGTCGTTGCAAATATAATCTGGTTTACAAGTCCGGAGTCGAATCCCACAGAGAACTAAGGTTTAGCTACAGCTGTTCACTATCACCAAGAAGACAAGCTTGAACAATTCCTAACTTATAGATATTAAGATTCTTCTGTTTAACTAATTAACTAACAAATTAAAATAGTAAATTAACAACTAACGATACTGAGGGTTAGAGAAAAGATTAAGGAGGTCTAGAGTTATGATCTCCCCAATTGTCGGAATCCTTCCCGCTATGTCTTCTATAATTTCGACTAAGTATTCTCTACCGATCATGAGCACTCTTATTACCGTAAATCTCTCCCGAGTAATTACGGCAATTTACTAGACGCACTCTCCCAAGCTACGCTAGCTGGATTTTAATACAGCTCACTTCAGATCGCACCCAAGGCTTCGTTATCCCTAATCCCGCCTTTAAACCCTCGGTTATTGATCCCTCATATACTCTGGGAGTGGTGTTGTTCAACAATTACCTAAATATCCACTCTCTCCCGAGTTATGCATACTAAATAGGCACAGCTAATTGAGAGCTCTTCAACCAACCACAATATAAACGTAGTTGAACAAATAGAGAAAAGCTATGGCTCAATTATATAAAAACATAACAAGAATTTATCCTACAAAAGGTTCTATCAAAACTCTAGATAACAAATTAGCTATTCATAATAGTATGTAAAACTACAATACTAAAAGTCATAACCAATAATGAAAAATAGAAAGAGGAAGGAAAAAACTCGTAGAAGAATTCTCCGCCTTGCTCCCAATGTGTTCTTGCCTCCTTAGGTCGAATCTATGTCCAAAATATGTCCCCTTTTTGTTCTTGGCTGGCCTCCTTTGTTTAATATAGGGTTTAGGACTTAAAATCCCATGTTTTGCACTTTAGTCCCTGAAATTTTCGCTTCCTGCCGCGGTTTTGCCGCGGTCGCTGTGGAACCGCAGCCAAACATGCCCTCTGATTCTTCAGTTGTCCGCGACCATCTTCTATCACGGTTCTGCCGCGGTCGCGGCAAAACCGCAGTTTTTCACCCTGTTCCGTTTGAAATTTGGAAAAATGTAAAATATGAAAGTTGTAGCCCTTTGAGTTAGCTTTCAAACCATATATTGTGAAGTCCAAATGGAGTTCTGAGCAAAAAGTTATGTCAATTTTACTAGACAGTGCGCAATATGCCTCCTCAAGTCTTCGTTCGTACTTAATTATCAAATTTGACCCCCGAACACGATCCCGGCTTAATTCCTTGAGCTTTTACTCAGACTTCAAAGCTTCAAATCACTTAAATTCATTCCATAACATCTATATAGCTCGGAATCACACCTACAAGGCATAAAACACACAATTAGTGCAAAACACTAGCGATTAAAGCGCAAACCCAATTAAAGTGCAGTAAATTCGAGTGTAATAAGCGACTAAAATATGCAATTATAGCCTATCATCAACACCCCACACTTAAATCATTGCTCGTCCTCGAGCAATCAAACTACACCCTTTTTTTTTTATAGACACGACCTTTTTAAACAATTCTCCTAACTCATCACACCAAGAGTATTTAAAATAGACTAAGCACAAAGGCGTAACATCTTCACCTCAAAATTTGACTCACAAGTACCACACGTTATTCACAACTCACCCACTTACTCTAATATAGAGGTCACTGACATTACCTTTCCTTCATGAATCAAGTGCCCTCACACAACAAAAGAGAGTAGTTCCACACAATAAAATTTAAGAACACTTGGGAACTCAAGATAGAAAGAATTCACTCACTCTCAGAAATAACATTCATATGCCACAAAAGATGCACCATAAGCTTGCCCGTAGTGTACTCCACTAATCGAGCTCATTCAATCTTGGATCAATTAGGACTTTATTTGGTTGTAATGTAGGCTACGGGACGGGTAGGATTCATTTAGATATAAGAGTGACTACACCTCCCTAAGCACTTTAATACATATACTTTAACATTCAAACCCCATACTTATGTCAAACCAAAACTCCACCTTCACATCAATGTATATTACCCCATTCTTCTTTAAGCACACTTACATCAAGAGCCACCACTTATCAAGGAATTTTTTTTCCACAAGAATCCAACTATTTTTTTTTCCAATTCAAGTAGCTCTTACTTTTTCAAAACAGTGCACCTTTCTCCTTATTTCATTAGTTCCACTCAAAAGCCAAACTAACCACCCCACACTTTAACTTTTACATAGTTCATAATAATTCACGTGCTCATGAGAGGTTACAATGGTTCAAATAGATGGTTAATTCGAACAAATGGGTAAGGCTTGTAATGTGGTTGCCAAAGAAACAGGATTACAGGCTCAAAGGGGTTAACTACGATACATAATAATTAGGCGGGTAAAATATACATATCTGGCTCAACAAGAAAATGCCTATTATCTTCCAAGACTGAACAACACTACTATTTCGCTTTGCAAACACACGGGGCAAGTTCTAGGCATCAAATGCACTGCACATAATATCACAAAACCTTACACACACATGGCACATAACTCACTCAGGATTGGATTCATCAAGACACCCTAGTCAGAGCAGTTAAGCAAATTTAAGATCATACAATTTAAGGTACTTATACAAGAGTCAAAAATTGAGCCTAAGCGTCACAGCCAAAGTACTCACTATTCTCAAGGCATAACAAAGTCAAGAGATATTGCTTCATTTCAAAACAAAACACAATGGCTCCTATTCTCAAAAAAAAACTAACTACACCCGGTTCAAATAAAACCCTTGGAAAAGAACCGTGGTTTAAAGAAAAACCGAGGGGTAATTGCTACACTACCTAACAAAATAAAAAATCTTTTTGGTATTTTCTTTAGACTTACTTCCCTCAAGAAAACTGTCTAGAAGATCCGTCATCAGGAAAAGTTCAATCTTTTAAAAAAAACAAACACAGCTAAATTAGCATGAAAAACCACCCAGACAATCTCCTTACCCCACACTTAAAATTGTGCATTGTCCCCAATGCACACCCATATATACAATAGGGTAAAAGAAACTCCCTGGTAGGCCAAAGGCCGAAGCACTAGCAGTTCATGAGGTACTCAGACTTCTCCCAAGCTTGGTCCTTCGTGTGGGTACCTCACACTTAGTTCCAACCATTTGGTTTGCTGATGCATCCTTCCAATACCTTTGCTTTCCATACTCCTAGAAAATAAAAAAATTGACACTACAAAAATAATACAATTAAAAAAATAAAAATAAAAATAAATAAAAGAAAGCAATAAAGCTGGGTTGCCTCCCAACAAGCGCTTGATTTAACGTCGCGGCACGACGCGAATCACTTTTTGCCTCCACCTCGAACTTATGAATTGAACCCCAAGTTTTGCTTCAAGCTTATGATTATGCTCTTGGGGCGGTACAAATTCTTGCGAGCCAAAAATTAGATAAAATCTTATGCACTTGTTGGCTCTCGACCGAGGAGTGTCACCTTGCCTAGACGGCCTTGAGAAATCCAAAATATAAGGCTCATCTACCTCTTCCTTGGACTCCTTTTTATGCTCATAAGGGTGAATTTCCATTTCACCGTCTGAACATAATGTAGAGAAGTGTTTGGAATGAGGCCCGACGCGCTCAAATACATGAACTTCAAGATTTTTAACCTCCTCAACACCAATCACACTAGAGTCAACTAAATTTGTATCTTCAACGTCCTTGGTTGACTCTAGTATTACTTCTTCAACATTGACATCCTCAAATTCTAGTTGGCTAGGTTGTTGATGTTCTACTCTGACCTCCCCAATTAACACCTCAAATTCATGCTCTTCTTGGCTACTATCCTCAATATTGGCTTGTTGAGCATTAAAAGCTCCAACCACTTGACTCAATTGAGCCTCCAACTTGCGAATAGTTGCCTCTTGCCTTTCTATGTGCAATTGTTTCTCATTGTTTTGTTCCAGAAGTCACTTTAGCATATCCTTGATCTCCTTCAGGTCCGCATTCCCAGGTTCTTTGTTCCTATTAACTTCACAAGAAAAGGTAGAACCATCATAGTAAGGGATTGGGGGAAAATAAGAAATATAAGCACAACCATGAAGGTGACCATTTTTTACCACCACATACATCACACACATTCCACAAATGAGATTGAGTTGGTGCACATAACTCGCTCTTAGGAACGTTTTGAAAATTTTGCCACGGATGGTTTCCTTCACAATATGTATGGAGATCAATAGTAGAATTATCTACACCTAAATTCCCATAATTCCAAGATGTCATGTTTCTCAAATCAACAGTTATAAAAAAATACAAACAAAATAAATAAAACAAACTAAAAGTTCAAACTTGAACCCTAGCAATATATACAGCTACAACTACACCGTTAGTTCCCCGGCAACGGCGCCAAAATTTGATCACGCCCAACTATGCCTTATAAAAAGGACTAAGCGGTCGCTGCAAATATAATCCGGTTTACAAGTCCGGAGTCGAATCCCACAGAGAACTAAGGTTTAGCTAGAGCCGTTCACTATCACCAAGAAGACAAGCTTGAACAATTCCTAACTTATAGATATTAAGATTCTTGTGTTTAACTAATTACCTAACAAATTAAAATAGTAAATTAACAACTAATGATACTGAGGGTNATACTTATGTCAAACCAAAACTCCACCTTCACATCAATGTAAATTACCCCATTCTTCTTTAAGCACACTTACGTCAAGAACCACCACTTATCAAGGAAATTTTTTTTTTTTTACAACAATCCAACTATATTTTTTTTCAATTCAAGTGGCTTTTCCTTTTTCAAAACAGTGCACCTTTCTCATTATTCAATTAGTTCCACTCAAAAGCCAAACCAACCACCCCACACTTTAACTTTTATAAAGTTCATAAACAATTCAAGTGCTCATGAGA